TAGAATTAAAATTTGTTGTCACCTGCCACAATGGGCTATGTCCAACAATCAACATTAAGCAAGTCAAGGCAATGCATGAACTTGCTTTTAGGGACAAGTTTTGTAAACATGTCAGCAGGATTATGTATAGAATCAATCTTTTGAACCTTAATCCTTTTCTCAGTCCAAATGAAATGGTGCCGCACATCTATGTGTTTGGTCCTTTCATGATGAACTTGATATTTTGTTAAACATATAACACTTAAGCTATCACAGAAAATCAGGGCATACTCTTGAATGATGCCTAAATCAATTACTAGTCCTTTCAGCCATATCCCTCCTTTGTAGCTTCTGTCAAGGCCATATACTATGCTTCTGTTGTAGATAGAGCAATAGAAGGTTATAATGTGGCTTTCCAACTCACCAAACAGCTTCCAAGAGTGAATGCATAACCTGTGATTGATTATTCCTTCCATCTAAATCAAAAACATAATCTGCATCTGAGTATCCATCCAGGTAACAGTTTGTACAGGTTTCATAAATGAGTCCAATGTCTAATGTTCCTCTCAAGTATTGAAATATTCTTTTGACAGCTTTGCAATGTTCTTTTTGTGGTTGATTTAGATACCTGCTCATAACACTGACTGCATAAGCAAGGTCAAGTCTTGTACATACCATGACATACATTAAACTTCCTACAACACTTGCATAAGGTACCCGTGACATATATTCCAAGTCATATTGAGATTGAGTCTGAAAAGTAGCTGATAATCTCTCTTTGGTTGACAATGGAGTGCTTAGGGGTTTTGCATTGCTCATTCCAAAACAAAACAAGATTTTTTGTATGTATTTCTTTTGTGGCAAGAAAACCTTCTTTTGAGTCCTATCTCGATAGATTTCCATCCCTAGGATCTTCTTGGCAGCTCCTATGTCCTTCATATCAAATTCTCCATTTAGGAGAGTCTTCAGATTTTGTATAGTATTTGTGTCTCGGGAAGCTATAAGCATATCATCTACATAGAGTAAAAGATATATCATAGAACCGTCCTCCACTTTGTTGTGATAAACGCAGCAGTCATAGGGACTCCTTTTGAACCCTTTGTTGATCATAAAGCTGTCAAACCTTTTGTACCATTGTCTTGGTGATTTCTTTAACCCATATAGAGACCTTTGTAGTTGTCAGACATAGTCTTCTTTTCCTTGAATCACAAAACCTTCTGGTTGTTTCATTAATATATCTTCTTCTAACTTTCCATGTAAGAAAGTTTTCTTCACATCTAATTGCTCAAGTTCTAGGTCTTGACAAGCTACTAGAGCCAACAAGACCCTTATGGAGGTATGTCTCACAACTGGTGAGAAAAATTCATTGTAGTCCACACCTTCCTTTTGGCTAAACCGTTTAGTTACTAAACGTGCTTTGTACCTTACTGTTTCAATACCAGGAATTCCATATTTCCTTTTGAATATCCATTTTCATCCTACAACATGTCTTCCCTTAGGTGGCTTGATAAGCTTCCATATTTGATTCTTCTGAAGTGATTCCATTTCCTCACCCATGACAAGGATCCATTTGTCTGATTCTTCATGATTTAGTACTTCCTTGTAGGTGGTAGGCTCGGGTGAGTGCACTTCTTCTGCTACATGTAGTGCATAGGCAACCATGTCTTCAAAACCATATCTCAGAGGGGGTTTGTACTGCCTTCAAGGTCTTTGACTAGGCTCGGTTTCAAATTGAGTCTGTAAAGTTACCTCTTGCTGATCAGCATTATTATCTTTGTCTTGTTCTTCTTGAGAATTTTCGAATGCTTCATCCTTAAACTCCTTGTTCTGAGTTATACTTGAAGTGGCTTCAGCCTCCACATGTTTGAGTGCATTCTCTATCTTTCCTAAAACAGAAAACTCCAATCCCGGGTGAAACATGTGGGATTCATCAAAAACAACATCCCTACTAAGAATAATCTTCTTTTCAGAAGGTGACCAGATTCTATACCCTTTCACTCCATCTCCATAACCCATGAACAAACCTTTCCTAGATCTAGGTTCAAGCTTCCCTTCATTTACATGATAGTATGCATGACAACTAGAGATTCTAAGAATTGAATAGTTTGCAGGTTTAGTGGACCATACCTCAATAGGTGTCTTACAACCTATAGCAGTGGAGGGTGATCTATTTACCAGGTAGCATGTTGTGTTCATAGCCTCAACCCAAAAACTTTTGGTCAAACCATCATTGGACAACAAACATCTTGCTTTTTCTAGCAAGGTTCTGTTCATACGTTCAACTACTCCATTCTGTTGAGGAGTGTTCATGACAGTGTATTGCCTTACAATCCCTTCCTTCTTGCAATAGTCATTAAAATCAGCAGAACAAAGCTCCAAATCATTATCAGTTCTAAGCCTTTTTATCCTTTTACTAGTTTGATTTTCAACCAAAATCTTTCATTCTTTGAAGTATTTGAATGCTTGGTTTTTGTGCTTCATAATGAATATCCAAGTCATCCTAGAATAGTCATCTATGATAGAGAGAAAATATCTACCTCCTCCAAGTGAAGGTACTCGAGAAGGCCCCCAATAATCTGAGTGGACATAATCCAAGGTGGACTTGGTGGTGTGTTGAGCCTTTGGAAATTTAATCCTATGATATTTCCCGAAAACACAATGTTCACAAAACTTGAGTTCTTTTATTATATGATCTCCCAACAGCTGTTGTTTGCTTAGCACCATCATTCCTCTCTCACTCATGTGACCAAGAAGCATATACCATAGATGTGTTAAATCTGGTGTATGTTTATCAGTCACAGATATTGATTCTGAGATTGAATTGGTTGATCCTTGAAGCATGTATAGGTTTCCTTTATTGATACCTCTTATAACAACAATTGAACCCTTGCTGATTTCCATCGCTTCACCTTCAACATTGCATTTGAAGCCTTTTGTATCCAGAACTCCAACTGAAATTAGATTCTTCTTCAAATCTGGTACATGTCTGACTTCAGTAAGGGTTCTTATCACACCATCATGCATCTTAATCTGAATTGTTCTAATACCAATTGTTTTGCATGCCATATCATTTCCCATGAAGACATCACCTCCAGATTTCTTCTCATATGTTAAAAACCAACTCCTAATAGGACACATATGATAAGAACAGCCCGAGTCAAGTACCCATTATTTTGCAGAATGTTGATGATTGTCAACAATAGACCGTACGAGCTCATTTTCAAATGAGGATCCTTCTTGGAAAGCAGCAACAACCAATGACCCGGTTCTTTGCAGTAGTTGCAAATGTCTTTTGGATTAACTTTAGTTTTCTTCTTCCCTTGTTCTTTCTTCTTCTTACCACTTTTGGTAGAATTAAAAACAAACAGTCCTGCTCCATTTACCCCCTTAGAGTTTGTAGATGCCTTGAACCGGAGCTCCCTTAAGTGCAGGCTTGATTTTACCTCTTTCATTGTGATGCATTCCTTCCAAACACTAAGAGAATTTACAAAACTCTCATAGGAGGGTGGAAGTGAGGCTAACAGAATCATTGTTGCATCCTCATCTTCAATCTTGACATCTATGTCTCTTAGCTCCATCAAGATTGAATTCAGTTCATCCAAATGATCCTTTAGAGGTGTGTCTTCTTTCATTGAAGACCAAATAGTCGACGCTTTAACAACAACTTGTTACAGATTGACTTCATCATGTAAAGCTTCTCTAGCTTCAACCACAGTCCACTAGCCGTTTCTTGATCAACTACCTCATAAAGAACTTCATCTGATAAAGAAAGCAAGATCAATGAGTGAGCTTTCTCCTCTTTTTATTCTACAAGATCCTCCTTTTTCACAGAAGTTGGTTTCTCCTCTGATTTTGCAGTGTTCTCCTTCTTTGCAGAAACAGAAGCTAGAGGACCCCAAACCCTCTATTCCTTCAGTAGAGCTCACATCTTAATGCGCCACAGATTGAAACTGTTCTTTCCATTAAACTTCTTGATCCTGATGGTGTTTGACATCTTTCTTGAATGTTCTTTCACAGATGCAGTGGAAGACCAGATTTTCCGAATCAGAACCACGGTGTAGGAGAAAGAAATGAGTTCCCTTGATCGTATCCTGAGCTTTAGTGCCAGTTTGTTGTAACTATACAGAACAAGAATAGAGCAAGAATTGAATGCCAAAAACAATTGAAATAAAAGTCAGAGAGGATGAAAGAGAAGAATCATACAGAGATTAACGTGGTTCACCCTTCCTCAGTTGGGCTACGTCCACGGGGGCAACAGATTAGAATTTTATTATCAATAGTACCAAATCACTATTTACAGTATGATAGGTCCTCTTATATATAAAGAGCCCAAAACAAATATGATATCCGTTAATTATAATAACTAGCATCCTAAAAGAATTAGGAATGGTTCAAAGGCAGCTTCAACATATGCTATACATGGATGAAATATATTGTCACATCTTGCTTTTGTGTTGTTGTGTTTTGTCCAGGTTAATCTCTGTTGTAGGAGTAGAATAGGTGCATGAGGATGGGTTTGATGGAGAGAAAGTTTAGTGTTTTGATTGTTGTTTCGGAGTCTTGTTCCGATAGTGTGAGATCAAGGCTAGAGAGATTTATGCATTTCTTATTTATAGAATAAGTTTATTTTAGTTTATAATATTTTTATGTTTTATGTTGGAAGTTGTGTAAAAAGACATTTTGTGTCTTATTTTAAACTTATGGTGCTATTTGGTTATCTCTGCATGACAAAATATTTATTTAAAGTGTTGTTAACCTTTTTACTAGAAGACTTAAGTTTAAGTATTTTATAATTTCATTTTTTATTTTAAAAATCTGTATTTATTATGCTAAGAGATAAAAAGGTGTTAGAGAAAGAGGATAGCCTACTAAAACCGGTCCAACCATGTTTTTTTTTATTATAGAAATTAGTTAAATGATAAATATTTCATAATAAAAATATAATTAAAAAGAAAAAAAAACTTAATGTCTACTTTTGTGCTAATTAACAAACAAAAACTAGAGTTGCCTAGAAGAAATGTTCCATTCATAGCCAATTGGCCATGGGAAAAGGAAAACATGGCATTTGATCTTTAACGAAAATCGTTATTTGTTAATTCATGATCCAAAATACAAGCAAAAAAAGAAAAGATACACACTGTGAAACCCCAGCAATTACTGTCATCACATGTAGCATAACAGTAACAGATTAATCACATTTATAGATACAAAAATCTGGTCAATCTCATCTTACTAACATAAAACAAATTCTGAGATTGGTATCGTTCCGTGCCTTCCTCTGCCACTTTTGGTAATCGAGAGTCTTCCACTGGAGAACGATCTCTTCATTGCAATTGGGCTCAACACACAATGCAACACCCTTGTTTTGTATCTGGACGACTTGCTATTCTCTCTTTGTGATCTCTTCGATGGGCCAGCTTCAGTAGAACACCCTTGTACTTGATTCATTTGCAATTGCAACACATGAGCAACACTTTGAAACGAATGGTCCATAGACTCAGACATACCAAAGGATTCGCACGCTCCATCTCTAATCTCAATCACCCTGTGCCTGCCCTGAAAGCTGCTTAAATCACTAAAAGCACGCAATGCAGGCTTTGGATAAGCTCTAGCATGATGCATGCTTTCTTCTTCCACCACCACCACAAACTCGTTTTCAGAAGAAGTTTCATTCTCTACCTCTGGGGCAGGAACCGAGGCATTGGAAGTGAATATGCAAGCACGACACAAGGGGCATGTGGAGTGAGACTTGAGCCACGTGTCAATGCAAGGAAGGTGGAAAACGTGGCTGCATTTCGGCAAGAGTCTAACACTTTCATTATCTTGAAACTCACTCAGACAAACTGAACAATCAGTGACTCTATTGTATCCTTTCTTGTACTTGAAAACTGCAATGGATTTTATTAGAGACTCGTCCAGGCCTGTGGTGGAAGCATGGCATGGTTCGTGATTTTGATTGTGGTTGTGATTCTCTTGCAACTCATCATTTGGGTCTCTGAGTGGAGACTCTCGGAGGCCACAGTACTTGGATATTAGAGTGTAGTAACTCACCAGAAGAAAAGCAGTGGCTAAGATCCCAATGATTGCAATGACAAGAGGAGAGAAATTTGGGCCTGAATCATCATCAGGGTACTCAAAGGGTGGAGGAGGAGGATACACTATATAACACCACTGTGGACAGTACAAGCTGCAAAATCCTTCGGAACAATCTTTGCTGTTCATATATGGAATCCAAGTTCTTGGGTTCCCAACAGCAGCCATGAAGACGCTATAGCATGTACTTACTCGTGAATAATCTTAGATTCATGGTTTTCTGTCTTCCTAGACAAGAGAAAGGAAGCTATTACCACTAGCCTATTACAAATATAGCACTGCCATAACAACTTTGAGTAGAACTAGAGAAATCGACTTAATAACATAGCAGCAGGCAGAAAAGACGTATATATTACACTTTGGCAGCAAAATTAAAAGGTGAAAATGTGTTATGTCATAGATATGGTGTCTTCAAGATTACTGTCAGTATTAAAATAATGTTTAACATGTGAAAATTATATTTCATAAGTACAGATTAATTTTTTATTGTCAATTTTGAAACACTATGAATCACATTAAAAAAAAATGAGCATAGTGCAAAATAAAAAGAAATACTTACAAGTACAAGATAAAGGGAAAAAGAACGTGCAAACAGAGTCTCAGCAGAACTCGAGTTTTCTCCAGGGCAAGAGAAGGCGTGAATAAGGGGCCAATGGCTTTTAGATGGAAAGCAAGGCGATGACAAGGAAAATTGGAGCTCTGGTGGGAATACTTTAACTTTTCTTTTTCTTACTTTTTTTGCTGTTCATTGTTTCTTTGTTCCGTAGTTTATATATCTTGGTTAAAATTGTTTGTTGACCAAGATGGTGGTCTACCGGTACTAATGTTGGTTGGGAATTTATTAAAATGAATGCTTTTTTTTTTTTTTTTTCTTTTTGTCCTATACAACCATCCAATTGAATGGGGCTTAAATTCTTTATGAATTGTGAAGTGAAATCCTTTTAGATTAATGACAACTTCATTAATGCCTACAACTCTGGGGAGGATCTAATTTTGCCGTCAAGTTGGTTGTATCTAACACAGAAGTGGGGTTATGCTATAAATTTTAGGATATTTTTGCTTTCAATATTGTATCAGTTTGGCTATTATGCATCAACCATGTAAAAATCAGAAAGATGTCCTGAGAACTTGTGCCATATCTGGTGAATACTTGAATTTAAACGGGTCACAGTATTCTTTAAAAAAGATTTCACAAAAAATAGTAACTAATATATTTTGTTGGGAACACTGGCACTTTTGCTATTTAATCAGATATGGTGTTCTAGTGTCTCTTCTCTATGCATCATATATCCTTTGGCGAACTTTTATCATACGACTATCCTGTATTACTTTGCATATATTCTCCTCTATGATCCCAGCAATAAGTGTCTTTTTCTCCCGCAACTTAAGGCCAAGTTTAGGACTAATTAACTTCATTGTAAGGAACTATTTGAATATTAAACTAGTTCCTTAAAGGTTAGCCCCTATCCTTTAAAAAACATAAATAACAATAAACAAACCTTAAGTTACACGACAACGAAGTCCTTTACTCATTTGGTAACCTAATTATGTTGGTAGTCCATTTGACATGATGACATATGATATAGCATATATTCATGACCGAATAAAGGTGCTGTGTTAAAAACACACTAAAAACATTTTTTTTTTATTTTTATATAAACACTTTAAAAAGAATAAGAAAAAAATTAAAATATATTTTTCATAAATTAAAACTATTTTATATATAAACTAAAAAATATTTGGAAAGCAGTTAATATAAGAGAACTCTTATATCTTAATTTATATATAAATTAATTTTAAAGCTTGCAGTCAATTATAGTTGTCACTTTTCACGAAGCAATTATACCATTTGCTCAAAACTTGGGACCATATATTCTCGTTTTCAATTTCCTTTGCTGGGTGGTCTCACTATCTAAAACCACGACATTATCTGGTTAAATATCATATCTCACTATGCCACTGTATTGTCTAGGTAGTCTCAGATGTAATAATACACAAGGATGTGGCTGTACATATATCGGTTGAGTTGAACCTGTGGGTCTAGCCATCTTGTGGTCACTAGCAAAGCAATGGAATGTGACCTTATCTTATTTTTCTGTCCTTTAATGCACCTCAATATCTAACATATCTTCCAATAACTAGCAGAATAATTCACACCAACATTTCATATGTGACATACTCGGTAATAGAAATGCTATGTTTACATTAATTTTAAAGGAATACTATCTAGGTAGTAGTTTTAAGGTGTTATTAGGCTGAAACTGAACTATTAGAGTCATAATGAAATGCTATCTAGGGGTAGTGGTTTTAAAGTGTTATTAGGCTGAAACAAACTATTAGAATCAACCGGCTGGTCGAAAATTAGCTAGGTAATTTATACAAAATTCACTTTACTTTGTTATTATTATTTAATTTTTCCCTATAAGAAAATTTGTTATTAACATTTATCATATAAATAATATATAATATTCATGAAATATCTAGACATCATTTTGTTTTGGTAATTAGAACGTTGTTTTTCTCATATAGATGTCTTCGTAATTGTATAAGAACTGCAGGCAATAATTGAGGATTTTCATCGTATGAAATCAACTAATACAACAGAGCACATACACTTCTAGGCTTTGTTTGTTTCTCTAATATTATATTACTAAACAAAATAAATATAATTTTTCTACGTTTGATTTATAACAAGATTAATTATGAGACAGGATAAAAAAGAAGAATAGGACAAAATTTTAATTTTTTTGTTATTCAATAAACCATGGGAAAATTAGTGTTGTACTAACACCGCCATGACTTTTACCATCATCATCCCAACCAATACCACCTATTGCCAACCACTAACGTTGCTGCAATCTATTATCGTTGTCATCACCCAAACCACTTCACGAATGTGACATGGACTTTCTATGTCAGGTGTTTTGAACATTTTATATCAAATCTAGATGCTACATAAATCTTGACGAGATAAAATTCTTCCACATTTTATGACGGGTTAACACATGACATAACAAATACACTTTCTATATCAGGTGGGCAATGTTTGTCATAGTTTGAATATCAAAGTGTGACTTTTAATAATATTGATATCAACATTCTATGACGAATGTGACTACACGAGACATAGAAAATGCACATTCTATGTCATGTGTGGTCACACCTGTTATAAAATGTGTCACATTCTAAGGTGGATGTAACCTTACCCCTCATAGAATACATATTTTATGATGGATTCTATGACGGATAAAGTCACACCTATCATAGAATACGCATTTTCTATGATAGGTATAGTCACATCCGTCATAGAAAGTACATTTCTTTATAATCTTTTTATTTTTTGAAAATTTTCAAACATATACATCAAAAATACATTTCATTTAGTTCCTTGCAAAATATTATTGTCCTGTTCGATACAAACCTATATAAAATATAATATCTATCATTTAAATTGAAAGAATGTACAAAGTAAACTAACTAGCAATCAAAGAGAGTTAGCAATAAAGTTAAAGTTAACAATAACTGACATTAATTAATAACAATGAACAATTACTATAAGAATGTATAAATATTATCAAATAATAATGAATCTAAAGTAAACTAGCCAATGTACACAAAGAAAACTATAATAATGTATAAAAACATAAATCAACTCTCAAACTGACTCAAGAAAATAGATGCTTGTCTTTTGCGGATATCTTCCAACTCTTCATTGACAAATGAAGTTGGATTCTTGAATACCTACAATTAATTCAAAATAGTGACAAGTTAAACATTAATCGATCATTATATCTCCTCGCGTGATGATTCTCCAAAGTTGATACTGGGTGGATTTGATGAAAATCTTCATCCTGTCATTTTATATGGGTAGTCTTCTCCATTGAAGGCAAGAGGCCTTGCGAGAGAAGCTTCTTCTGGTAAGTGTTGTCCTTCACTACTTCCCATCTAGATCTTTTTCTTTTAGCACGATTAGATGCTCAACCCCATTAAAGGCTAAGCTCTGATACCAAATTGTGGAGAAAAGACATACACTAGAAGAGGGATTGAATAGTGTGTATCAAAAAGTCACACATTTGTATAGTGAAAAGAAAATAACTTACCAGATGAAGCGCTGAAAAAGAGTTCGATGAAGCACTAGAGATTTTTATACTGATTGTCTCAACCACCAAGACTACGTCCAACTCTCAATTCAACCATATTGAGTTCCACTAACTTTCACAAAGTTACAAGTATTCTTTTACCAAGCCACTTCTAGTTCAATCCTAAGTAGTCTTTGACTTGTCTCTTCAAGCAACTACCCAAGTATTCTTTGAACAACAAACCTCTCCAAGCTTAACACAAGTATTCTTTCAACAAGCCTCTCTAGGCTCAACACCAAGTATTCTTTCAAAAGTCTCCTCAAGTTCAACACCAAGTATTCTTTCAAACAAGTCTCTTTAGGCTTAACACTAAGTATTCTTTCACATAAGGCTCTTCAGGCTTAATCCTTACAACAGAGGTAATGAGTGATTACAAAATTGTTTCATCTCTTCTAGACGTGATGTAATCAACAATGTAAGCACAAGTAATCTGCAAAGAAATATGTACAAGATTTACAATGAAATGTTTCTTTGTAGTTTTTCAGCTTTGTGTATTTTGTATGCTTCTCTATACAAATTTCTCGATGTATATTGCTTTTATTGCTTTTGTTCTATGTGTGTCATGCTTCACTCAAAAAGCTATTTTGTTGTTTGAAGGCTTGGTCCTTATATAGTAGCTTCAAAGAAGATGACCGTTACAACAATTTTGAGTTGAACTTGCAACATGCTTCACGAGTTGCTTCATCTGTCTTATTTATTGATCCTAGAGATTATTATTGATACATTTAATGCAAGCATTAAATTCCTTTTAGTAAAAAGTGTATCTCTTGTATGATCACTACAAAAAAAATGTTAAATAGTGGAGGTTATTTTGTGGAGGTTTCAAAAACCTCCTTAATTTATTAAAAATTACAATTTTTTTATTTAATTTGCAGAGGTTTATAATCTCTATTAATTAAATATTATTTTTCTAGTTTCTGCTTCCAAAAAAATTTCCCTCTAAAACAAATCACAAAATCTAGAATTTCCCTCTTCAACTTTACAGCTTACCTCTCAAAAAAAATATAAAAAAAATTGTGATTTCCCTCCCTAAAAAATCACAAACCCCACAACTCCCCTCCGTAAAAAATCAAGAAACCCACGGCTTCTCTCTCCAAAGAAACCCTTCAAAACCCCTTAAGCACCATGACTTCTGCCGTGAATCAAGAAACCCACGGCTTCCCCCTCCAAAGAAACCTTTCGAAACCCCTTAAGCACTGTGACTTCCGCCGTAAATCAAGAAACCCATGGCTTCCCTCTCCAAAGAAACCCTTCGAAACCCCTTAAGCACCGTGACTTCCGCTGTAAATCAAGAAATCCACGGCTTCCCTCTCCAAAGAAACCCTTCGAAACCCCTTAAGCACCGTGACTTCCTCCAACGGCGATGACGGGTGAGAGTCGTTCTCCGGCACCTTAATGCTCGTGTATGCTTGTGAGTTGTCTCTTGCCCAACTTGATTTTTTTTCCTAGTGTTGTTTCCTGGTGTGGAAAACTAAATGCTATAGCTTGTGCTTCTGAAACGTGTGCAAGAATTCCAAGGTTAGTTTTATCCATTTATCATGTTTCCTGCCTGAAAAATCTTTGACTATGTCCTAAATGTTTTGTTTAAAATGCCTATTGGTTTGGATAACTGATAGTTGACGGAAAACATATTAGATTATTCTGAGGATCCATTGCATTTTATAATTTGTGAATAAATTCAAGATGATTTCTTAATGTTTCATAATTCAAATTTCCTTAATTGCTTTTATTCTATTATATATGTGATATGATGGTACTCAGACCAGAAGTAGCACTAGGAAAAGATGTTGTGGGATATAATATTTATCTATGTGACTGTCTCATGGAACTTTTTTATTTTTTTATTTTTTATTTTTTTACTTGTTTACGTAATAGTTTTCTTGCTCTTAACCAGTTTCTTCATTTGTTGGTACTCTGATCTATGTGTCGTTACTCAGAAGAAGGTTTCGGTGAGTCTGAAAATTGGTTCTCTGATCATTCTTTTGGTTGTATTAATACTTGTGTTGGCTTCTTAAGTTTGGATTTTTGATGCAGGATAAGCTTTTGGACCAGACAAGTGTTTCACACCTGTTTCCCATCACAAAGTACCTTGGTTTATTGGCAACTGGCATGACTGGTATATTTCTCATTGCACCTCTTCACAGTTTCTTTGTTGTAGATTTTTGTGAATTTATTTGCATTTTTTAATTAAAATATACGTCTGTTTTTTTTTGTTAAAGTTAAATCATGTGGCATTTCACTGATGATTTCTTCATTGTATTGTATCTCATTAAAATATAAATTACAGGTTTGAAAAATATGATATCATTATCAACCTAACCAATTGGTTAGTGAGGAGAAAATTAAGGAGGAGACTGTGATTATATGAGAATGATTATCATTCTCCTAGATTGTGACTTGTTGGAAATTGCTTAAGAGATCTGTTTTCAAGCCAAACCTCTGGTTCAGAATCACTTATTTATTTTTTGGTGTGATATTGTTCTATAAATCCGTGCAACCATATCATGAAATATCATTAATATTTATGATGAGAAAATAGTTCTATTAGACCTGAATGTTACTGTCAAAGTTGTGGCTAGGGCTAAATTGACTTATGGTCAGGCTCAGTAGATAGAGGCAATGGTAATATTGTTTTTCTGTAAAATGAACTTTGAAATATGAGCACATGTTTAGATTTCATCCAGAGAAAATGAATATTTATTTACATATATATGTAGAACTAAAATATCCTCAGTTTACAAATTCAACCTTTGCTTTATCCTCTTGAAATACCTCTTTCCAGCTGATGCTAGGACGCTGGTTCAACAAGCAAGAAATGAAGCAGCTGAGTTTCGCTTTACATATGGGTATGAGATGCCAGTGGACGTATTGGCTAAATGGTAAGTGGTTATTATTCTGTTTCATTTTGCTATAAAATTATCATTAGTTTTTGGAGAAGAATGATGTCTGCACTTCTATATTTAATGTACTGGAACAGTACAACAATAGGTATTAGCCACATTGTTTTAACATGCTTCTGCATTTGTGGTGTGACTGGATGATTCTATCGTTTGTTGCTTCTGCCACCATATTGAATTGTAAATTGCACGTGTATGTATGTGTAGGTGTGTCGGCTCTAGTGTCCAAGCCAATAAAAATTATTTTTTAATTGGACACCTAATTAGAAGTGCCCGCTAGATGTAGGGGTGCATCGACATTCTAGTGTTTCCTTTAGGGATAAGCTCATTGGAAATAAGGAGGCAGCTCCTCGACCTCTGGCAGTTGATCTTATACGGCACAACCTGTTCAGAATCGAATTCGAGGATGGAAATCGGTTAAAGCCGAAGTGTTTTATCAGTGATGAGGTATTGCAACCCCTCAGGGAACCTTGGCAGGAGGCGGTGGTCATAAAGTTGTTGGGGAAGTCAGTAGGTTTCTTTACTATGAAGGAGAAATTACGTGGCATTTGGAAATTGGCTGGAGGCTACGATGTATTGGATATTGGCCATGGCTTCTTCTTGGTCAAATTTGATATGCAGGAGGATAGAGATAAAGTCATTACCGGAGGGCCATGGATGATGTTTGATCATTATCTAGCAGTTCGGGAATGGGTTCCAGATTTCGTAGCAGCTGAAGTGCGTATTGATAAGGCGCTGGTATGGATTCGGTTCCCTAGTCTGGGCATGGAATACTATGACGAGAGTGTCTTGCTTGCGTTGGCGACTGCTGTTGGAAGGCCAGTGAAGGTTGATTTCATGACTATGAATGCGACACGGGGCAAGTTCGCGAGGGTCTGCGTGGAGATTGATTTAAATGAGCCAGTGGTGGGGAAGGTTTGGTTTAGAAATGTCTGGTTCAAAATTGAGTATGAGGGTCTCCATCTACTGTGTGCGAAGTGTGGTCGTTACGGGCATGTGGCTCGCCAATGTGCTGTTCAAGGTTTGGATGGTGTAGAGACGCCAGATGTGCATCGACATTCGAGTGTTTCCTTTAGGGATAAGCTTATTGGAAATAAAGAGGCAGCTCCTCGACCTCTAGCAGTCGATCTTATACAGCACAATCTGTTCCGAATCGAATTTGAGGATGGAAATCGGTTAAAGCCGAAGTGTTTTATCAGTGATGAGGTATTGCAACCCCTCAGGGAACCTTGGCAGGAGGCGGTGGTCATAAAATTGTTGGGGAAGTCAGTCGGTTTCTTTACTATGAAGGAGAAACTACGTGGCATTTGGAAATTGGCTGGAGGCTACGATGTATTGGATATTGGCCATGGCTTCTTCTTGGTCAAATTTGATATGCAGGAGGATAGAGATAAAGTCATTACCGGAGGGCCATGGATGATGTTTGATCATTATCTAGCAGTTCGGGAATGGGTTCCAGATTTCGTAGTAGCTGAAGTGCATATTGATAAGGCGCTGGTATGGATTCGGTTCCCTAGTCTTGGCATGGAATACTATGACGAGAGTGTCTTGCTTGCGTTGGCGACAACCCCTCAGGGAACCTTGGCAGGAGGCGGTGGTCATAAAATTGTTGGGGAAGTCAGTCGGTTTCTTTACTATGAAGGAGAAACTACGTGGCATTTGGAAATTGGCTGGAGGCTACGATGTATTGGATATTGGCCATGGCTTCTTCTTGGTCAAATTTGATATGCAGGAGGATAGAGATAAAGTCATTACCGGAGGGCCATGGATGATGTTTGATCATTATCTAGCAGTTCGGGAATGGGTTCCAGATTTCGTAGTAGCTGAAGTGCATATTGATAAGGCGCTGGTATGGATTCGGTTCCCTAGTCTTGGCATGGAATACTATGACGAGAGTGTCTTGCTTGCGTTGGCGACTGCAGTTGGAAGGCCAGTGAAGGTTGACTTCATGACTATGAATGCGACACGGGGCAAGTTCGCGAGGGTCTGCGTGGAGATTGATTTAAATGAGCCAGTGGTGGGGAAGGTTTGGTTTAGAAATGTCTGGTTCAAAATTGAGTGTGAGGGTCTACATCTACTTTGTGCGAAGTGTGGTCGCGTAAAAATAACCTCCACTATTTAGCTCATTTATTGTAGTGGATCTAGCATGCTACTTATCATTATTTCCTTCTAAATTGAGCATGGTAGAAGCAACAATAACATAAAGTAGTTGAAGTCAATGCAGAGTAGTCTTTTGCAAAGCCTTTTATGTGATATCTAGGATTTTGCTTCTTTTTTTTTACGGATATTTTATCTTTTTCTTCTTTAATAGATTTTGATAGTTTCGAGACATCTTTCTTGTTTGATCTATTAAGGAATAACACATTTAATGAAGTTTAATATTAGTCTCATTTGGCAGTATACGTTTAATGCATAGAGACAACCTATATGTTTCGTCTTATTTTCTTCATCTTATAGATGATATATATTTTCCACATTTTTTTAATATAGTATATCTTTGTAGATATTTGACTTTGCCTAAAAAAATCTTTTGTTTGTTATCATTAAAACTTAAAGGACCCTATTATCAATCCACCTATATATAGTTAAAAAATTTCACTTTAAAACTTGTGTCATCAACCAACCATATGTCTTCAATGACTTTAAAGTAACATAAAGATGTTGTAACCAGATTCAAGTCTTTGGAAGTTGAGAAATGTTGTGACTCAACCACCACCATAACCCCATTATTTTGCATGGTAGTTTTGATTTCTTTCCTTTTGGTAATGTGCATTTATTAATATAGGACCCACTCCATCGTATGACATCAAAGTTAGGCTTCGGTGCTAGCCATTTCAATGTTTCAAAAGTTGTATTGTCATTCTCAATTTGGTGTTTGAACCACTTTGAGAATGTTCAGTTATGCTCATTGATAAACCATTTCTCAAACATTTACGAATGATTTTTGTTCACAATGTCCTTGTGACAGTTAGATAAGGTACAACTTCATCAGTGTTATTCAATATATATAAATGTGTCTGCAACACTTCTTATAAGTAGCTCATAATCTTTACACTTTGTAAACTATTGTCAGTAATTCTTGTATGATGATGAGACTTAGGTATCCCCACAACTTTTGCTTTTGATAAGTATTAAGCACAAATCTCAACAACTTCCTTTAAAATACATCTTTCAAAATGGGTGCTTCTGGACAATGTTGGCTCTTCACATACCCTTTTAATATCTTCATGTGTATCATTCAATTGTGTAAATCCACCATAAGAACATCAGATCATTGAATCTAACTTCTCTGGTTAAATGATGTAAACCTACTTCCCAAGATTCCCTTTGGAAAAGATAAGTCCAAGAAGAATGAAGGTTGATAAAGTTGGTTTAAAGAATTGTAGGACACTTACCCTTATTTTGTAAGGTATCCTACCTTTGGAAGCCTATCCTACCTTAACGGACTGCTATTGTTTTTATACATTTTTCTTACTTGTAATTCATTTTATTAGTGATTGTATTAGGATATTTTTGGCCTTGTATTTTGGGTCAATTAAGTATAGTGTAGGTAATTTTGTCTTTGTGTTACTTGAGGGTGTAATTAGTAGATTAAAGGAAGTGTAACTAGTAAAGTCTTGTTAAACTTATTTGCGCTTGGATAATCCAAATCTTTTTGTGGCCCATATATGTTTAGACGTCCACTTGCTCATGCAAGTGGTTTGGACTTCCAAACCATGCCAAGCTTGCCATCCAAGCTACAAATTAAGTCATATGGCTTTGATAGTGACATCTTATCAACTTGTTAAAAGTAATAATTAGTCTGATAGTTGTAATGATTAGGTTAGATAGTTGAAGTTAACTTAAACTAACCTAGGTTATTCTTAAACTAAGATTAGCTTAGCTTGCTCCATAATTTTTTAGACAACTGACTAGACTTGTAAACATTTAACTAGAGTTAGTTAGCATAAGTACAAGATAGTTAACCATGGTTAGTCTAGCTTGCACCATAAGCCAGCTAAACTCTATATATTATAGTTTTGACCCATTTTTGTAATAGTTTTGGAGCATTTATGTTAATGGCCAAGATTTCTCCTTAGAGTTCTCTTTCTCAAAATTTTAAATCGCTCTTTGATTTACTTATAATAATTCTCTTATCCTTTTCCTAAGAGTGTGGTGAGATTTGAAGTAATTTATCTTTTTTCCTTGAAGAAGCACCACTTGAAAAGAGTCATTCACAATTGAAGGTGACTTTAGAGGTTTCCACTTCCATTGGAGACCTTAGAGAAACTTGAGAAGTGTCAAGAAGGAAAAAATCTAAGAAGAAAGTTGAAGGAGAAGCTACAACAATCTAATTCTTCCTAAGGTTTTCCATCACTAAATGCACAACTAAGTGAACCATTATGTCAAAAAGTGATGAAGGAAAATACATGTCTAGTTGACACAAAATAATAGCAATAACTTCGCTTTCTAACTCATCTAACTTCTAAGGACCAACCACTTCATCACAGACTGCATTAAAAAGAAAAGGTACAATCTAGTTATGACATATCTAACATTCTTAGACAATATGTCCCATTAGGTAGCAACTATTATATCAAAACGTGACATTTGTGAGACCTTAAACCTAGTAATTTAAGATCTTTTATTGATACAAGCCTTTTAACATTGAATGAATAACCATGTTGAACCTTGACGCCTTATAAACAATGACAAAAACTTTTCTTTTTAGATAACGTATGACATGCTAGGGGAAAATATCTGCTTTCTAGGAAACTACAGAGCTAACTGTTCTCTTATACCCATCTTAACCAAATCTAAACAAGCATTTACATCATCATTTGTCTTCCCTTAAATGTTAAGAAGCATTCCAATTACACTTTCACACCTATTTTTTCTCACATGCCTGACATCTATACACTGTCTCACATCAAACATCTTCTAGTACAATAATTCAAATTATATTGGCCTTTTCTTCCATATTTTTTTGTCAGTTGGTTGTTTCTCATTGTTTCCAAGACTACAATTAACTTCGTCACTTCTTCATAAAGAAATTTTTTTATTTTTGATATTCAAATTATTATTGATAAGTTTAATCTTTAAATATTGCATAATAATAATTAATAAATGAAAAAAAATTAATATAATTTTTTTTCTAAAATCTCTTAATAACGGTCACTACTTTTACTAATATATGTATATTAAAAAAATGCGAAATATCATTTTATCCACTAGCTTAAATTATGATGATAATATTTTAATGTAATGACTAGAGTTTAAATAAGATCAAACTGCTCTGGCTCCACCTGTTCCAAAGACGAGAAATCAAATGAGTCAGTTTAGATTATGCAATGAATCGGGACAAGTGGATTCTTTCTTCTATATTGTCCAAGACATGCACAATACTTCCCTATGGCTGTCATCTTTTTTCATTTCTCTCTCTACTCTCTCTCCCTCCCTTTGCACTCATGTACAAGGTATTCCTTTCCAAAATGTCTTCCTCGAATATGACCTGAACATGAAAACCCCAACCAATTTTTAAACTATAAAAACTTTGCAAAAGAAGCTTTCACGTATACTAGGTAAGGAACAAATTCATGTGGGGTTAATTAATTAGTAAACATGACTCCTCTATATTGACATCTTAAAACTCATATATATTAACCTCTTTTGTCCAACCCCACTCCATTTCAATAATCCTCTCTCTAAATTAAACCAAAATGGCACTGAGTAACAATGTGATAGGTGCCATTAACTTCGTTGCAGTGCTCCTCTCAATCCCAATCATTGCTGCTGGGATCTGGCTAACAACTTTGCCAGCGGATTCATGTGTCCAAATTCTACAATGGCCTGTTATCATATTAGGGGTTCTGATATTTGTTGTGGCTCTGGCAGGGTTCATAGGAGCCTTTTGGAGAATACCCTCACTTCTGGTATTCTACCTCGTGGCCATGCTAGGGCTTATTGTGTTGCTACTTTCGTTGGTGGTTTTCACCTATGCCGTTACCCTTAGAGGGCACGGGACCATTGAACCCAATCGGTCTTACTTGGAATATCGCATGGATGATTTCTCACTGTGGCTTCGCCGAAGGGTAAGAAGCTCCCACAAGTGGGATCGCATTAGGAGTTGTCTTAGCTCATCAAATATTTGTAGTGAGTTGGATCAAAGGTACCGAACGGCTCAAGACTTCTTCAATGCACACCTAACCCCCATTCAGGTAATTGTTTTCCCATAATTGTTCTTTATATATCAACCTTGGTTCACCTCAATGTACAAGTGATTCAATGTTTGTTGTATGCAAGTTTTCAAATTAGGTTTATTAGATACTGGGATAAGTTTTTTCAGAAGTATTTCTAAGAGAAAATTGAAGTTTATTTGTGTAAATTTTTCTAGAAATACTTATAAAGAGAAAAATAGAAAAAAAAATGAAAGAAGTTTTTCATAAAATAAAATTAACTTATAGACAAACTAATGTGTAAAGTTCGCTTCTATTATCTTTTACAAAATTTTACTTGTAGTTCATTCATAAGTTAGTTTATTTTATGAAGAAACTTTTTTCTTCCTATTTTTTCTATAATTGATTTTGGAAATAATCATCGAAACAATTTCTAAGAAGAAAAATCAAAATAGGTTGCATAAGTTATAATAAACTTATGCATAAATTAAAAATAAGATTTTCACATTATAATAAATATTATATATAGTGATATACAAATTTCATTATAAATATATATATAGATATAAATTTATTTTGACAATATTCATATACAATTTTAATATTAATTTTGAATGAGATTTAATAACATATATTATGTATTGTCATAGTTTATATTTACAATTTTTAATATATCAATATATATTATATCTATAATATAGGTAAAAATAATTTTTTAGTAACAAATATTATGTCACTATAAAATGTGTATCACTACAAATTAATTATTTTGTAATGTTAAAAAATTATTAAGAAGAAACTTCTACAGATTTGTTTAAGTTAATTATAACATACAAAAAAAAAATTCTTTCTTTTTTTCCTAAAAATACTTCTAGATAAACTTACTCAAAAAGATGTTATACTCTATGTTAGAACCAAATTTAAATTATTACTTGCTAAAACAAAAGTGTGGACAAACGTAGCTTGTGTGATCCCAATTATAGTCGATATTAATGCCTTTGCACTTCAGGGGATTTTTCGTAAAATGAAACAATTAATGTACATAGACAATTTGGTATAAAAAAAAAATTATTAAAAGTACCAAGGCAATCGCAGCCCTCCCAGTAACTTTTCGTAAAATGTACCCAACGTAGTAACTTAGAACCATGATTATCTATGAAAAAAAAATCATATGGGTTACTTCCTTAAACTTCCCAAATGCATGTGTCCCAGTCTTTTTACATTTTGTTTTTCACATATAGACACCTATTTCAATTTCTCTAGAAAGCATGCAACTGAAGATTTTGAAGTTCGCAACTGTTTCCTTTCTTCATTGTTTGGAGATTTTATATTCCCTTTAAACACAATCTTGTTCACTAAGAAAATTATTGAACAAGTAAGCATCATTTCAGAAATCCACTTGCTCATGAAAAGTGATCAGGTGAAAGACCAAAAAAGTTATAATTAACCGATCGAGATTCTTCAACCACGTGTTTTACTTTCATTATTTTTTGCCCCCTAGCATGTTATTCATCTTTTGCCTTTATTCCATTTGTTTTGTTCTTTGATCTGATGCAGTCAGGGTGCTGCAAGCCACCAACCAAATGTGGTTACACGTTTGTGAACCCTACCTATTGGATTAGCCCCATCAACACAGCAGAAGAAACGGATTGCATGAAATGGAGCAACGACCAAACACAACTTTGCTACAACTGTGACTCGTGTAAAGCTGGTTTGTTGGCAACCCTTAGGGTGGAGTGGAGGAGGGCCAATGTGATATTGATCATTACTTTGGTTGCTCTAATTGCAGTATACTTGGTAGGCTGCTTTGCCTTTAGGAATGCCAAAACTGAGGAGCTCTTTCGTAAATACAAGCAAGGCTACTCTTGAAACATATCATATTTATTTGCTTCATACTTTGATGGACTAGTAGAGTTAGATTATGAACACTAAACAGTGGTGGTGGTGGTTAGTGAAATTGGGTCATTTTGTGTGTCTCTTAATTATTGGATTTTGCATTAATGAAAAACGAAGAAATCCATGTACGTACAATGTATGTATCTGTCTTGCGCTTTCACTTTAATTAAATCCGATAAAACTGTTTTTTTTCTAGAGAATAGACATTTAAGAACATGTTTGGGAAATATATTTTTTTTTTTTTCATGATTTCGATCAGTTGTTTTGAAAGAAAAAACTTTTTGCAAAAAAAAGTTGGATGCTTGAGGTAATAACATAAATTTGTAAACGGTTTTTCTCCTAAAAAATAAGTTTTTTTTCTTTAATTTGAAATTTTGAAGTTTGTGATTATTTTTCAATAGTATTTTTCTCCTAGAACTAATATATTACATATAAACTGATTTTTTTATATGTTTAAACAGAATTAAATTTCTTAAAATCATTTTCAATAAATTTATTCAAACAATAATTTATTCCAATAGCAATCAATTATACACAACCGATTATTGAAATAAGCAAATTTTAATAATTTTCTCAAACACACTTTAATTCACGAAGAAATGAGTGTATTTAACTTAAATGAGTATTTGATTGTTAAAAATACCAAGAAAGAATAAGAGTAGGAGAGTAAAAAAAAATGTTAGTAACACTGTTTTTAATCATCTCTTTATTATTGACTGTAATTAATTTAGAAATCACAATTTTTTTGTGGATTGTGTATGCCTCTTTTCTAATTTAGTAGTAAGACGTATTAAAATTTGTAATTTTTAAATAATAATAAAAAATAATAGTTAGAGAATATTATAGCGTGTCTCTTATATTTCTCTTTGAAAACACAAGCAAAACTAATGTACAGTAAGTATAATTTAGAGGTCAATTGTAATTTGACAATCAGAAAACTTTGGGTTGTTTACCTCTACTGATAATTCTAGTAAATAATAAGCTTATACATGTATTATAATTGATTATAATTTGGGTCATTATTATCACATTTACCTCAATGTTAGGGAGGTATTTACTTTAGGTATTGGGCATTTATTTACACCCAAGTTTTATGACTTTATCATATGCAAATACCACAATTTTACACCATCTAAAAGAAAATTATCTTTTATGTTTTAAAGCAACTTATATATAATATTTCCTTGACAATGATAAAAAAAATTATAAATTTTATATCACTCTTTTGGGGGAGCTGCTAGGGTTTTACGGGCTCCCTGATACTGCCAAAAATGATCACGTGCTCATCCCGTGGGGCTTTGGTGGACGTGGGACCATCTTCTTCGTCTCCTCCGGCAATTGCTGTTGAGATATTCGACGGTAAACGTCTTTTTCTCAGGCCTTACAAAATACCTGTGATATCCCAACAAGCCAATTGTTGAACTATTAACTTAATTTTAGGTTTTATTTGTTTAATTAATGTTCTAATTTAAAAAATTTTAAGGTCAAATTTAGAAGCATAATTTAGAAAATCTTTTTAGAAGATAATTATAGAATAACATATAAAATTTTCTAAAATATGTAAGTTTAGATATTTGAAGAATAATTTAGATAATCATTTGTAATCATTAAATTAAGATTGTGTCGACAAATTTTTTATCATTGACTTAGGAGAAATAATTAGTATAGAGGGAATGTTTTAAACTTTGTGTTGAGCCGATATTACAAACGTAAATTTTCGATAGATATAATCCATCGGTAAAGAAGAATATCTATCAGAAATTCTCTATTTTTGACAGATACAAATTCATCGTAAAAAAGGACATCGAAAAATATTCTGTTAGAAATTTCCGACAAATATATCTATCAGAAATTATTTGAAAATCTTTATGTGATTTCGACGGATAAATTTGACAGAAAATTTTTGTTTAATTTTAATAAATTTATTAATACAACACCCCTCATATTTGATCTATCAAGGTTTCTATTTCACCACACTTCACTTTTCAATGTGTTTTGTCTTACTTGCACAATTTCTAGGAAATTTCTCAGAAGGTCAGTCATTCTTATATTACTTCAAGTCAAGCACGCTTAATTGTAAAACTTTAATGAAATAAGCTATTGAAAAATATATGTATGTTGTTGGTATAGGTAATACAAATTAATTTATTTAAGTTATCCTCAATTATACAATCTTATGCTTATACTATCTCTGGATCCCTCTTATTCTGGTGTGCCCGGACTATTATAAAAATATAATAATATATATAATAATTATATTAACAATAATAATAATCATATTATATTTAATTAATCTTTATTTATATATAT